GGGTGGGAGTTCCCTCTGGGGTGCCTGGCCAGTCTGGGTGAGGGGCTGAGGGCTGTTTTCGGGTTGGGACGGAAGCTCCCAACCGCTCCTTTTTTTCTCTCTTTTTTTTTTATTGTGGGCCAGCTTTAGCTCTGAGGTTCCAGCTCTTAGGCTTCCGCTCCTAAAAGCAAGTATCTGGTTTGTTTCGATTCTATAATCGAAACTCTGTATCAACTCCAGCTCTGAGATCCCGGGGCTCGCTGAAAGCAGGTTTCTGGAGTTTTTTTTTAGCTTCTATATGTTACTATGTTTCAAACTGCCTGCTCAGAGGCCTGCAAGGGAGGCGGGGGATGTTGGAGTCCTCCGTCACTGAATCAAGCAAGCCTCATGTTCAGTTTAAGCTGCCTGGCTGCCGGTCGCCATCTTGGCTGTCAGTTAATTTGCATATCTCACTGATTAGCCAATGGGAAGGGTAGTGGTCATACGCCAATTACCATGTTTCTCTTTTATTAGTGTAGATTAGCATGTTTTCTTGGTCATACATGAAATAATAGTTTATAATGAGTGGCATCTTAGCTTAGATGAAATATAATCTGTCTATCTGCTTTTTCAACCTCAACTTCTGTAGCTTCCTTACCCCATCCAACAACTGGACTCAGTGTCCACCAAGTAGGCTTTGAACTTTCTTGCCTCTGTTACCCAACCTGAAACACTGCTTACCCTTCCTCCCTGGCTAATTTCTTTTTGCAGTCCATCCAAATCTTCTTGGTAGCATTAATACTTATAATGGTTTGCTAAGAAGTCCTTTTTCCCAGTCATAGGTGGCTTTTTCCAGGGTGGGGATGATCTTATTCTTTTTTTGCCTCAGTGCCTGTCAAGGTAGCAAGCACATGTTGGATTCTCATTAGTGTTGATAAGGCTGGATGGATGGGTGTGTGAGCGGGCACTGTCTATATTAATTTATGACTGTACAAAAAGTGATTTCCCAAAAGAGAAAAGGCTCATCCTCAGGAAAAGGCTCATTTTTGAGTTTGAATTTGCATCAGTTATACTAACTTGCTTTTTAATATTGAGCCAACCTTGGTCTGTGGTCTCTGGAGGCCTCTTTCATCCTCTCCTGCTTGTGCCCTTAGGACCATAGACATTAGGAGAACAGCTCTGAACCAAGCAACTCCAGAGTGTAGGGATGGTTTGTGCTCTTCTGTGGAAGGCCATGACATTCCAGGGTGAGGTGGGATCTCTGACATCACCCTGGACACCTACAAGGATGCAGAGCTGGCCTGGTCCTGTCTGCTGTGCTGGAGGCCTGTCATTGGCCTGCTGGGTCTCCAAGGCTTCTGAGCCAGCCTCAGCCACCGCAGCCTTGCCTCGGTTGGGCAGTCTAAACTGGCCCAAGTTGGGTGTCTTAGGTTCTGAGTTGTGACCACTCCAAAGCCTGTAGAGTTGGAGTGGGTAGTTCTCATGTTTTGTCTGTCAGACACCCTCCACTTCATGTGTTATGATGGCAGCTCACTACTACTTTCTACCTCAGGAATACCACACGTTACCTCCCTCTGACTCAGGTGCCTGTACCTCAAGCTGCTTGTGCTGGCTGTCAAACAGTTAAAAATATCTTGTTTAAGATACTCAGAAGTTCAATGGAGGACTAATAATCCTTAAAAAACAATAAAGTAAAATTATGCAGAAACAAAACTACAAAGATATGCAAAACAAATAATTCTAAAATCTTAAATGAAAGGCAAACTATTACCATTCAAATTTTAAAAAGAGAAAGGAAAACTCAAGGTGAAAAGAAAATTCATGTTGGAAGATAGTCCTTAGGACTCTATACCACACATGACATAGAAAGAGAATCATATCACAAATGAAAGAGCATGGACTATAAAACTTAGAAGAAGACACAGGGATACATCTTCATGACCTTGGATTAGGCAATGATTTCTTAGATAGGACACTTAATGCCCAAGCAACCAAAACAAAAAAATAGATAATACAATTTTGTTAAAATTAAAAACAGTTGTGCTTCAAAGGACACTATCAAGAAAGTAGAAAGAAAATCCACCGAATGGAAGAAATATTTCTAAATCATCTATATATTTAAAAGCCAAGTGACCGGAATGCCAGAACGACTGGAATAACCGGAATGACCGGTTGCTGACACACACTGTGGCAGCCAACCGGCCCAATAGGGGCCCGTACCAGCCCCGCCCCAACCTCCCGTGGCCCCTCCCCCTGGCCGGCCCAGCCCCTGATCACCCCACCCACCCTGATCGGAGGCAGGGCCAGCTGGCCAACTGCCGCAGTCCCTCTGCATCCCTACCGTGGCCCAGGCCTGATCGGCCCCCATAGGGTGGGCTGGTTGGACCCCACCTCTAGTATATCTGAGAAAGATCTAGTGTCCAGAATGTGGAAAGAATTCTTACAACTCAACAATAAAAAGACAAGTAACCCAATTAAAAAGTGGGCAGAGGATTTGAATAAACATTACTCACAAGAAGATATACAAAAGGAATGTGGAAAGACTGTCAACATCATTGGTCATTAGAAAAATGAAAATCAAAACCACAATAAGATATCACTCCACATGTACTAGAATGACAAGAATAAAACAAGTTGTTGCCAATGACCTGGAGCAAGTGATACCCCTGGAGCAAGTGTTGGTGATGAAAAATGCTGTAGCCACTTTGGAAAACAGTTTGGTAGTTTCTCAAAAAGTCACAAAGAGGGACCATATGACTCAGCATTCCACTCCTAGGTATATTCTCAAGAGGATTGAAAACATATGTTCACACAAAAGCTTGTTCATAAATATTCATAGCAGCATTACTTGTGATAGCTACAAAGTGGAGACAAACTAAATGTCCATCAACTGATGAGTATTTAAACAAAATGTGAAATATCCATACAATAGATTATTGTTCAGTCATACTAAAGGACTTTTGTACTGGTATATTCTATAACATAGATAAACCTTAAAGACATTTTGCTAAGTGAAAGAAGCCAGACACAAAAGGCCACATATTATATGATTTCCTTTATGTGAAATATCCAGAACAGGCTAATCCATAAAGACAGAATGTAGATTAGGGGTTGCTAGAGGCTGGGGAGAGAGAAAAATAGGAAGTGAATTCTCATGGGTATGATTTTTTGATTGGCAATAAAAATTTTATGGAATTAGATATTGCTAGTGGTTGTCCAACCTTGTGAATATACAAAAACCACTGAACTGTACACTTTAATGGGGGAATTTTATGGTATGTGAGTTTATATCTCAATAAAAGAGCATGGAAGATAGATAAATGGCTCAAAAGACTTAAATTCTTAGATGGAAAATGCACCTCGATTGCCATCCCATAAAATAAAAGGCTAATATACAAATTGTCCCCTCGACTGGAAGTTTGACCAGGAGTTTGACCAGGGGGTGGGCTGGCCGGCCAACCTCTGGTGTCCTCTCCCCGGGCCAGCCGGCTGGACCCCACCCATGCACAAATTGATGCACCTAATACCTAAATAAAACCAAATGCTTTCCTAAGGACAGTGAGAGTGCCTAAAATTACAACAAAAATGAGAAACAATAATTGCAAATGGCTTAAACTCTGGTATTAAAACACAGAGATTATGTGATTAGATAAAAGAAATCCAAAATCCAGTTCTATCCTGCTTTTAAGAGACACTTAGAAGACACACACAGAAAGTTTGCTGATGTATAGCAAAAGATATGTGCAAAATATAAAGCTAGTTCTTGGGAAAACGTCTATTTTAACATCTGTTTGGCAGGCTATTATACAGTAGATTTAAGTGAAAAACCTACTACTGTCTTCCAAAACAGCTTTGTTTGTCTTTATCCATTTAGACATGATTTTACATATATTTCAGAGAAATGCAATGTTTTCCCTTTCTAACCTATTGAGCGAGATGGGTGTTGAAAATTCAGATAGCAAGAAAGTTCTGCAAATAACGTTCCCCAACCCAGAAGCCACCAGAGACCATGTCATGAAAGAACAGCTCGTGTGGTTTCTGAAACTACCTAGGGGTCCTCCTGCAGCTCCAGCACCAGAACACTAGCCTGGGGACCTCACCTTGAATCCTTGCACACATCTTTAGCAAAGTGACTCTGACAGGGTAAAGCAATAGCATGTGCAGCCAATTCTTTTCTAGAGCCAACTTCACCTCTGCCTTATGGGGTTTGTGAGTCTCACCGAGCTCCATGGGGGGGTCCGTAGATGATGGAGAGCTGAAGATACGTTGGCTCTCGCTGGAGGAGTGACCCGGAGCTTCACCACCTCTTACGGTCATGACTGCCACTGAGGAAGAGTAGTCAGTGACTTCCTTCTGAGCAGATGCCCCAGGGTGCCTCGGTCACACCACTTTGCTGGAGGGATCCTTAGATGGAAAGGTACAGTACAGTAATCATTCACCAATGCAGATAGCTCATTCATTGCTCCTCTGTGTGTGCAGCTGCTGGCGTGCACGGTAGTATTGGCAGTAGACGCGCTCTGCTTCTAACCTCCACCGCCTGATGTAGACAGAGTTTGTGTGTGTAGATGCTAGCTGGCTTGCAATGACATTGTTGTGTGTCCTGTTCTAGGGGACTACGGATAACACGTCCAACAAGAGGATTCCTCCGAAGAGAACTGACCAGCTTTGAGGTCTGAAGACGTTTTAGGAAGCTTACGTTTTTTTTCCAAAACAAAATATTATGTATATTGTAAGTTATTGAGCGATGAACTTCAAAAATTTCAACTTCTGATCTCCCTCATACGGATTTTTTTATAATAAATACTTTGATACGTATTGCACATCTATCAAATATGAGGGACAATGCTAGGTTCTTAACATGTATTATCTATTACCTCATTTAATCATGACAGCAACTCTTCAGGAAGGTACTATAATCTCCATTCCACAAATTGGGAAATGGAGGCATAATCAAATAAATAGCTTGCCAAAGTTAGCACTCCTTGTTCTGAGTCTCATTGACATTGACACAATGTCAAATCACCCGCACTCTACCCTCCTATCTTTTGCATTTGTACTCTGCCTGGGGATTAGATCAGATACCCATGTACCAAGTTCAAGCACACTTCTTTTACGTGAAGATTCCAATGAGTGCTGTAGTTGCAATTGTCTTTTATCTTGAGTTCATTTTGAGGGATGACAGTTGTCATTCTTATCATGGACTAGATCAAAACGCACCTGTCATTTAGCCCTCGGAGCTCTAGGACACTGAAGAAATTTATCTTTACGGACTCTTTCTGGCGTAGGTTGTTGTTGATGTGAAGGAGGGACATAACACTACTGATTTTGCCTTACACTCCCCACCTTCCCATGCATACATGGAAAAAATGCACACGTTGATGAGAAAAATCAAGCAAAAGACTTTGCTTGTATAATCTCCAAATATCCCCGCCTCTTGGAAACAGCAGGTCTCATGTCCTTGGTGCTTGCCAGGGTGAACACAACGAAAACAAAGAACTTAGCTGAGGAGGATCATCTCCTGGAGGGAGGACTTTCTTATTCTTTTATTATTAGTTAAAATAATAATTTTATTAAATGAACTCATTTGTCATTAACAAATAAGGGTGCAGGACATTTAATAGGTAGTGGCTATTTTTTTAAAAATTTTGTTTCTTTTTTTAAAAAAAATATATTTTATTGATTTTTTACAGAGAGGAAGGGAGAGGGACAGAGAGTCAGAAACATCCATGAGAGAGAAACATCGATCAGCTCCCTCCTGCACACCCCCGACTGGGGATGTGCCTGCAACCAAGGCACATGCCCTTGGCCGGAATTGAACCTGGGAACCTTGAGTCTGCAGGCCGACAATCTATCCACTGAGCCAAACCGGTTCGGGCAGGTAGTGGTTATTTTAAATACGGGAGGAAGGCTCTGAAGTCAGACTGCTTGGATGAGAAATCAGAATCTAGATTCTTGCGCACTAGCTGTGTGAACCTGGGCAAGTTACTGAAGCTCCTTATGCCTCAGTTTCCTCACCCCAAAAGGGAGAGATACTAGTGCTTGCCTATTAGGATTATAGTGAGGACGATAGAACAGCTCAAGTTAAATGTCCAGCTTGTGCTCAGTACACAGTGTGTGTCAGATATTGTATTATTATTATTTTTTTTACCATGGCAGGTCCTTAACGGAACATCACAGGTCTCGTATTGTGCCATCCTCAGTGGAACTGATGTTAATAACATTCCAATCCCTTTCAATTCAAAACTCATGGGTGATTTTTCTAAGGGCTTTTAATCAGATTTCAGACCCATCCCTCGAGTAAACACTGATTTGAGAGATGAAATGAATGGCAGGGATTTTGTTCTTTGGTTAAAACAACATTTGAAAGGCATTAAATTATTCTATCTTGTTAGTTTGGTGTGTGTGTGTGGGCGCGGGCGCGCGCATGCATGTGCGTGCAAATGCAGATAGAAACTGTCTATAGATGGAAATGGATTTTGCAAAGGTCATATCATGGCTTTATCTTTGAAATGGAAGAAAACATGTGTCCCACACTTCTTTTATAAAATGGTGCCAATATTAGAAATTGTCCAGAAGCTGAGAGTGAGCCACGCCGCTGCCTTTGGAGCACAGTCACAGTGCGGGGTGCCAACGACCACTCTGCGGTTACAGGGGATGGAAAGAGCGGGATGCTGATGCAGCTTGTGGTTCCACCTGGGGATCCGGCTGGACTAGGTTACACGAGGACCCGTCATTGTTCTCTGGAGTCTGCGATCACTCAGTGCAAAACAACAGGGCCCGCTGCATGAATGAGATGGATGTGATACGAGAGCGAATTAGCCCAGTCTTTCTGAAAGTGTTTTTGCTCCTGATAAAGGGGGTTCCTTCGCCTGATTAAACTGAGGAATCTGCATGCTATTGGCTATTCTTAGGGATTCATAATACGTGTATCCGTCATTCAGGTCTTGAAGTCCTACCATGAACAGGCTCATTTAACCTTCACCCATTTAAATTGGACTTAAGACCCCCTCCCTCCCACAGCAACATCTATTCCATTCACAACTTTATTGAAGGTACTTTGAGAGACAGCAGCTTAAACAAGGAGTTTTATAAAACTTCAGTCATATTTTAACACCCGAATTCAACTAACAGCCATCAATTTTATATATTAACTAGAGGCCTGCTGCACAGATTCGTGCACCAGTGGGGTCCCTCAGACTGGCCTGTGGGGATTGGGCTGAAACCGACTCTCCGATATCCCCCAAGGGGTCCTGGATTGAGAGAGAGTTCAGGCCAGGCCCAGGGACCCCACCAGTGCTTAATTGGGGCCGGGGAGGAACCACGGGAGGGCTCCAGGGTGTGTCCAGCCCATCTCGCCCAGTCCCAATTGGCCCGGCCCCAGCAGCAAGCTAACCCACCAGTTGGAGCATCTGCCCCCTGGTGGTCAGTGCACGTCATAGCGACTGGTTGGATGGTCAGACAGCATGTTAGGCTTTTATTATATAGTATGAATCCATATCTTCTAAAGAAAAACACTTCTATGTAATAATAGTCCCTCTCCCCCACCCAACCCCGCCCCACACACAAATAGCTACCAAATGCAAAATGGTCTCAGCGAGAGACACACAGAGAGAAACTAGAAGGTAGGCTGGTGGGTGGCAGAGGAAGTGGAGAAGGTCATAGACACCTTTGGGAGGAGTTGTGGTGTTTATGACAATGATGAGATTTGGACACAGGAGGATTAAAACTCCTAAAAGAACACCACTTTTTGTGAAAAATAAACATTGTGTATAATTGCAAAATAAAGATGATGAAGAGTCAGTTTTTGTCTTGAACTTGTCTTTTCTTAAGCACATTTGAAGGTAGTATTGATGATGACTTTGCCAAGTGCAGGTTCTATGCAGACATGTGACTTTGTCAAGCCTTCATTAGCTAATGAGATCCTTTCCTCAAGTAAATTGCTCCAAGAGACGAGAGTAGACTTTGTGAATGTGCCCTGAAGAGGAAAGAGTCCACCTTGCTGATGAATAGGCATGGGGGTGGGGGAGGAGGGATTCTGTTCCCAGTTTTCTTCTTCTCAAGGGGGGAGGGGATTGCAACAGGTCTGCTTTGGTTCAGCTGTGGGAAGTGCCCAATCACTGAAGGGTCAGACCTTCTTCCAGGAATATCTCAGGAATGAAGGAGTCCTCCACCCCAGCACCCCAGAAAGAGAAGTCCCTGTTAAACTCTAGACAGCGCCCTCATCTCTGGCTCTGCTCTTTTGCCCTGTGATCAAATCAGGGGTCCCCTGTAGAGGGGAAAGGCCATCAGTGCATACAAAACAGCACTCTCTGAATTTCCCTTTTCTCCACATTTTGAGTGAGGCTGAAGGCAGGCATAGAAGTATTTCTACCATGTCCGTGGGGGGCCAATCTCTGTCAGAGGGTTCAACAAGGAGAGTTTTTGTTCTGACGATCAGAATTCCAGCAAACGGTAAATGTTTCTTCATGCTGAGAAGTGGAAATTCAATAATACTTTGCCTGGGTTCGTGCTGAGCAGCAAAAATTGAATGAATGTGGAGAGGGACCGTGATTTGAGCACTAAATCAGCCGGCCGGATGTTGGCACCACCAGCTTTTTTTTTTTTTTTTTTTTTAAATATACTTTATTGATTTTTTACAGAGAGGAAGGGAGAAAGATAGAGAGATAGAAACATCGATGAGAGAGAAACATCGATCAGCTGCCTCCTGCACATCTCCCACTGGGGATGTGCCCGCAACCCAGGTACATGCCCTTGACCGGAATTGAACCTGCGACCCTTCAGTCCGCAGGCCGACGCTCTATCCACTGAGCCAAACCGGATGTTGGCACCACCAGCTTTGATGCTAACGCCCTTTCCTGTCTCTACCCCATTCTCCAGGGTAAGGAGACTGTTTTTATGTTTGCTCCTAGACTGTTTTGTGCTGCCATCCCTTGTTTACCCTAAGAAACTCTGAGATCTAACATCTCTGTTGTTCTGCGTGTACATTATGATGCCACTACAGCACCATTTGCTGAAAGTCTTCCCGTGTCAGCCTAGCTCAAAAGGCAAAGTTGGTGTGGGTATTCTGGAGCTTGTAGTAATGGAATCACTAATCAAGCTTGAGCACTTTTTCTTCTGTAAACAAGCCACAGGTTTCAGAGAGGGTTCCTAGAATGGAAGCCCCTCGAGGGCAGGGATTTCTGTCTTTTTTGTTCATGGTGACATCTGCAGGACACGGTAGGTGCTCTAAGAGGCCTCTGAATGAATATTACTCTATAGGCCAGTGATGGCGAACCTATGACACGCGTGTCAGAGGTGATGCGTGAACTCATTTTTTTGGTTGATTTTTCTTTGTTAAATGACATTTAAATATATAAAATAAATATCAAAAATATAAGTCTGTGTTTTACTATGGTTGCAAATATCAAAAAATTTCTATATGTGGCACAGCACCAGAGTTAAGTTAGGGTTTTTCAAAATGCTGACACGCCGAGCTCAAAAGGTTTGCCATCACTGCTATGGGCTGTCACATGTATATGCAGCTAGGAGCTCTCTGTGATGTCTCCGACTAAGACCCAGAGTAAATATAGTTTTACTGTCTTTCTATTATGTATGATTTTGTAGAGAGGGTCTAATCTACGATTCAGTAGAAGACATCTTGGTAGTATGTTTCTTTGTAAAAAGTTGTGTCACTCAAGCCTGATCATAATAGAAAAATTAGAAAGTGTCAATAACCAGCAAGAAATAAAACAGCCATGTTTATACTGCTCATAGATAATCACTGCTATGGTTTAAATGTTCTTACAGAGTTTCCTGTGCATATATGTATATGTTTTTATAGTAATAAGGTTAGATCATTTATACTGCTTTTTTATTTGCATGCACCTCCATTTTTATTAATAGACATCTTTATCATTTTTCCATAGTGTCACAGTAGGCTATTTAATTCCCTGTGATTATACATTGAAGTTGCTTCTGATCTCCTTGATCATAAACGCCATGCATTTTCCTGTTATTGGATGAGGTTGGCACAGCTGGTTTCTCTCTTGTTTAATGGAGCCATCCCCCCAGTCCTACTCCTGCAAGCGACCTGTCCATCACACGCCTGCTGGCCCTTCCTTGTGAGCAGAGTAGCCTCAGAGAGAACTCACGTTCCAGGCAATGACTCAGCATCTCTGCTCCTCCACACCTTTCACCTCATTATAGTCTCTTAACCAGGTTTTACCTTGATTCATCTTCACAGTATCTCCAGCAGGAGCAGGAAAGGGAAGAGGTGGGGCCGAGGGTGGGAATATAGCAAAGGGGAGCAGAGGGAGGAGTATCAATTACCTTCTTCTGCGCACAGATCTGCAGGTTAGATGGTGTGCTTTTCTTATTATCAACAGTCCACACTTTATTCAGATTTCCTTGGTTGTTACCTAGTGTCTTTCTTCGGTTCCAGGGTCCCACCCA